GACTCTCTGCCACCACTGGCACCCCACCCCCCCTGCCCTCCCTGTGCCCCTTGTTCCCTCTTCCCTCCCCATTCCCTCTTCCCTGCCATCTCTGCACCCCCTCTTCCCTGCCCCCTGTTCTCACTCCCCAGCCACAGAACTCTGTCCCCACTGTCCCCTGCCAAAGCACCCACTAGCACCCTCCCCCAGTACTATGTCCCCTGCTCCCACCAACACAGTTGGGGCCACATTAGTGAAGCTTGGGGAGGAGGGAGAGTTGGAGGAGGGTTTTTTTGCATCTCACTTGTGTGGCCCCAAATGACTTTTCTGTGGGTCAGTGACCCCTGACTCAAAACAGGTTCCCTGCTCTTCTCAGAAATAAAGACAATGGAGAAATTTTGTGCGTTTGACATAGTATTTAAAAATGAAGCCTAGCCAACAAACCCCCAATTGGGGCCAAGCCCCCATCTGGCCACAACATCGTAACACTCCTGCACTCCCCTTTTCCCCAGACCCTACATCTGAGCCTATCATACGCTGGAACCCCCTGCCCTGAGCCTCTCACATATCCCAACCTAAATTCCTGAACCCTCACATCCAGAAGTCTGTGGCTTGCTTAGTAGCCCAAAACCCTACATCTGATCCCAACACTGCCGGCCTGGAGCCCCCTCTGAGCCAGCGTCCCCTTATCCACCTCCTCCTGCATCCAGATTTCCTCCCAGACCTTGCACCTCTCACCCCTTCCCACACCCAAATCCCTCATTACCACCCCAGAGCCTACACATCCTGTCTCAACCCAGCGAGGGTACAGCTAGACTACAGGAGTTTTTCAGGATTCCGGAGATATCCCAGAAAAACTCTTCTGCATCCAGGGATGCGTTTGTTCTTCCACTTCTTTTAGTGGAAGAGCAAACATGATCTTTTGGTCACCTCTATATTCCTCTTTCCATGAAAAATAAGGGGGGGCTTCCAAAACAAGGGTTTTTTCTGACATTTGGTCCAGTCTAGACAGGCCAAATGTTGGATGAATTTTAAAGCAGAAGTATAAGGGTTGGGGATAGCAAGTGATGGAGAGGAGGAGAATAGCGAGGGTGGGGCTTCAAGAAAGGGGTGGGGTGGTAGATCTTGGCTTGTTCTATCATTTAAAAAGTGATCTTGGGTGTAAAAAGGTTGGAGTGATCTAGATGGCACTGGGTCCTGCTGTGAGGGCAGAGGACTGGACTCGATGACCTCTAGAGGTCCCTTCCAGTTCTAGTTTTCTATGATTCTAACTATCTATATCTGAGTCAAACAAATTGATGTTACTTCATGAGACAATTAGTGATACATAAAAGCACTAGAAAGAAGCTAAAATTAACCTAATGGAAAAAGATTCTTTTCTTCAGTGATCACAGAATTCTATAAATGTCAGTTATTTAATATACCAATTTGTGCTTTTGCCCTTGCAAATTCAGATAATAATCAGCTGTTAATTTCTTGGAAAAAAATGTTCAGTTTCTGCAGGAGCACAACTAAAATACCACTGAATCCATCTGTACTCACTAACCTGCCTCCAAATCATCTTCATCAATCTCTGGTGTTCCATAACTACGACTCAGAGCTTCCTGGATTTCACCGGCTTCTTCCATCATGTCCTCCAATTGGTCTTGTATGTCCTGCAGTTGTCACAAAAAAGTTAAACTTGTCCCAGATGCACAAGTTACAAGCTGATTCAACTAGAACTATACACTGAAATTTAGAAATGACTCAGCAGCTAATACTGCAGAACAAGCTACTTTGCTGCATCATTTTAATTTATAAATCCCATTTGAAATTCTTCTAAGAATAGAATATTGTGTTAATTATATATTTAATGCAACACTGGGCTCTCAGCTGTTAAATAAAATATAAATGATGGACTAGAATAGACAAAGGGAAATTGGCACCAAAATCTCTGAACGTATCAGGCTGTTTTATATTTTGCCAGAGAGAATTTAAAGATTTTTTTTAAAACTTAGAATCTAATGTTAGCTTGCAGTAGAGGGTTATGAGACATTAAAAAGCAAAATTAAAATAGAAAAAATTTCATTTCATACACTAAACTGTAGTGTGTAAATACAGGAACCATTCTTTTTTCCTCACTTATATTCATATCAAATGTGGAAAGTCTCATGGAATGCTTCATAGATTCTTTGCATTGTAAAAAAGACATTGAACCTCCAAGAGTGCAAATGATGCCAATCAAAACCAATGGCAAAGTTATATTAAATGGTTGGATGTTCTAATTGGTCAGAAGCATCTAGAATGGGCTAGAAGGACATTTAAAACACAAGAGCTCACAGCAGCAATGTTAAGCACTGGAATAAACTGTCTTAGGAGGTTATGGAATCACCATTATTGCAGATTTTTAAGAGCAGGTTAGACAAACACCTGTCAGGGATAGTCTAGATGGTGCTTAGTCCTGACAAAAGTTCAGGGAACTGGACTTGATGATTTCTCAAGGTTCCTTCAAGTTCTATGATCTCTATGAATGTTTAATTCCAAATAAACTTTGTGCACACAATAAGAGTCACTATTTAGCATTTCAACAGCATATCATTGGATTGTTTAGTAGCAAGTAGTACAAACACTCACCTCAATTTGGTCAATTTTGACTTGCTTGTAAGCCTTTTTCATTTCTTTCACCCCAAGTTTCATAGCATCAACCTAGAATAGAGTAAAAAACCATGCTTGTATCTACCACTACAGCATTTGCAAATAAAGCAAATCTGAAATGAATGTATTGATACCGTTGTCTTTGTGTCCTTCAGTGACTGTATGGTGTAATTGGCTTGTTCCATATTAAAAGACTGCTGTGACAGATTATCCCGCTGTTGTTCATACCTGTTAAAGTATTGCAAATGCGGTATTTAAAACATTACTGTATATTATACAATTTGTAAAGAACGCTAATGAAATTCAGAAGGCATGCAACAAACAGTACTTTTCAAACTTGGAAAGAAAAAAGGAAATCTTACTTATTTATAGAATCATAGAATACTAGAACTGGAAAGGACCTCAAGAGATCACTAAGTCCAGTCCCCCGCCCTCATGGCAAGACCAATCACAATATTCTAGATCATCCCTGACAGATGTCAACCTGTTCCTAAATATCCCCGGTGATGGAGATTCCTCAACCTCCCTAGACAATTTATTGTAGTACTTAACCACACTGATAGTTAGGAAGTTTTCCCTAATGTCCAACCTAAGCCTCCCTTGCTGCAGTTTAAGCCCATTGCTTCTTGTCCTATCATCAGAGGCCAAGGAGAACAATTTTTCTCCCTCCTCCTTGTAACACTCTTTTAGAAACCTGAAAACTGCTATCATGTCCCCTCTCAGTCTTCTCCTTTCTAAACTAAACAAGCCTGATTCTTTCAGTCTTCCTCCACAGGTCATGTTCTCTAGATCTTTATTCATTCTTGTTGCTCTTCTCTGGACCTTCTCCAATTTCTCCACATTCTTCCTGAGATGCAGTGCCCAGAACTAGACAAAATACTCCAATTGAGGCCTAATCCATGCAAAGTAGAGCGGAAGAATGATTTCTCGCTTACAACACTCCTGTTGTGTCTTGCTCACAACACTCCTGTTAATGCAGCCCAGACTCATGTTTGCTTTTTTTGCAACAGCGTCACACTGTTGACTCATATTTAGCTTGTGGTCCACTATGATCCCAACATCCCTTTCTTCAGTACTCCTTCCTAGACAGTCGCTTCCCATTCTGTATGTGTGGAACGGATTGTTCCTTCCTAAGTAGAGTAGTTTGCATTGGTCCTTATTAAACTTCATCCTATTTATCTCAGACCATCTCTCCAGTTTTTCCAGATCATTTTGAATTATGACCCTAGTCTCCAAAGCAGTTGCAACCCCGCCCAGCTTCATATCTTCTGCAAACTTAATAAGCATCCTCTCTATGCTATCATCTAAATCACTGAAGATATTGAACAGAACGATCCTGCAAGATCGTATCAAACACCTTACTAAAGTCTAGGTATACCACATCCACCACTTCTCCCTTATCCACAAGACTTGTTATCCTATCAAAGAAAGCTATCAGATTGGTTTGACATGATTAATTCTTTACAAATCCATGCTGGCTGTTACCTATCACTTTATTATCTTCCAGGTGTTTACATATTAATTCCTTAATTCCTTAATTACTTATTCCATTATCTTTCCTAGCACAGAAATTAAACTGACTGGACTGCAGTTTCCCGGGTTGTTCTTATTTCCCTTTTTATGGATAGGAATGCTGTTTTTTCTTTTTTCTGATATCACAAAACAGATATCAGACAAGATCACAAAGAGAAAACAGTTTCTTGCCATTTTAACCAGAAAGGACACTCTCTCAATGACTTAACCACCTGCATTCTGCTACAAAGACCTTTTACATCTGCACTTGAAAGGGAATCCTCTGAACTGTCATTCATGTTAAAATTTGACACTCTTCGGGAAAGAATGAACAAATACTCAAACTATCTTACCCATTACCAAGATAGCTTCCCCAATTATCACCTCTAATACCATTAGCTCACAGACATCCCACTCTCCCCACCTCTAATATCAATTCACAGCCACTTACCTTCCTTCCTTCCTCCCCCACTGCATCCTCCTCCTGTTCTGAAATGTGATTTGTGCTTTTCATATGTGTTCATTTTTTTTAATTGTATCCTTTGGTATATATGGTTGTGACTATTTTCTTCCACTATTTGATCTGAGGAAGTGGGTCTGGCCCACGAAAGCTCATCACCTAATAAACCATCTTGTTAGTCTTTAAAGTGCTACATTGTCCTGCATTTTGCTTTATTTACTAATGGCACAGCAATATGGGAGAAATGTATGTTATCCCATATAATGTTCTGATTGGGTCCAACTGGAATGTTAAGAACACCAGTGAGACCCATGGGGCCATATAAAGAATTTACAGTGATACTGATTCATGCATATAAAGTAGCTATTTATATAACATGTAGTAGTTTAGGTCTATAGATCTAAAAGTAAGACCAACTCAAGTATAACTACCAGTCATTTGGTTTTAATTCAAGGTGTATCAATACCACAAGTTATGTAATATGTCAAATATCAAACCTATTCATATACTTATATATAAATAATACACAGACATGATAAAACCAAAATAATTTTAGCTTTGATACTTTAAAAAACTGGATGTTTATAACAGCTGACTGCCATTTCATAATTTGTTTACATGAATACTCACAAGAAATGGCACAGAAATGGAAGAGGAAGTGAAAAGTATGCCAATCCTTCCTCACAAAAAATTCACTAAATAAGAATTAAGCGAGTTTGAAACTTACATTCGCTTCTGCTTTAACACTCTCAAAGCCTTCTGTTTAACCATATTCTGAAAGAGACGTTACAGCCAGATGTTAGTAAAAACCAAGTTAATTTAGTTGCTCTGCATTTTACTATTACAATACTTAATGCATAAATGCATAAAGTTTAGTCCTTTTCTAAACTTTAAGAGGTGTTAAACAGTTAATGGGCACAACAAATACTCAAAGTATTCAAACAAGCATATCTATATATCGGTAATAACGAAAACCCATAGAACTACCTTTTAAATAAAAGGGAAAAAAAGACACCCAAAAAGCAGAACATGCTCACAAAAAATGGCAAATTTCTCTGGACATGACCTTCCAAAAACATTTCAAAGATCAGTATCAACCAAACAATGCTTTGTGTGGTGCTATCAGTATTTCACTAAAGCATGAAGAATTTTCATCCACTTCAAAACGAACTAAACTTTATTAACAGCTGTTTCCTTTAGCTGTTTGCCCCATTTCTCAAGTTCATGGGGTTTCCTCTTCTGTTTCTGAAAGATTTTGAACCTCCTCTACAAGGAACTGAACCAACGAGTCTGCCTTACAGATTTGACCTCATAGAGCTGCAGGGAAAGGAAGGAGAGAAAGGAAGAAAAGGGACTCAGACTCCCTTCTCCCCAAAAGCCTTCTGGTTTAAGAGACTTCATTTCTAAGATCTTGCATTTACTCTCTGCTTTCTCCCTCCCCACATCACTATTCTCCACATGCTGGTATACAAACTGAAAGAAACTTAAAGTAAGCCAACTGGTCCCATTTTCATTCTTACCCCTAAATCACAGAGACTTATTTGCATCTCAGTTAAAAAAAAAAGCTGAGAAAGTTTATATTTAGCATTTTACTGACATTTTAATGTTTCCCATAGTAGATGTTCAAATTAGTGAAATCTATGACAACTATAAAAAGAGAGACAGCAATTGGTGCAGAGGAAGATCCAATCTAACTTGGTGTGATTGAATGTCTAGAGAGTGCTGGATCAATCCTACCATAATAACCTGATGTACATATAAAAAGGAGGCAATAAGAGTATTTGACTTCGTAGCCACGTTTATTAGTTTTATACAGAGTAATATAATGAAAATGCCTCTTTATTTCAAGACTAGAAGCCAATATGGCACAGATTTGGGAAATAAATGAGAATAAAAACAAGCTTATAGTAGCCACCCTCTCCCAAGATAGCAAGAAGCACTTTTAATGATGCTTCTCAGAACCTGGAGAACTGGTTATGACATCACTCCATTACAGGACAGACTGAAAATGCGAGTCACTTCACTTTCTCATATTACACCAAATAGGATTCTTACCTTTGCGGGGCCCTCCCGCATTTTCTTCATTTGATCTTTATATTTCACCAGCTCTGCTTCAAGTCTGCTAATTTTCTTGTCAATTGACTCAGCTCTGCTATCCACCTTTGGTATAAGGAAGACAGACAAAAAAAAACGCATTGCTTACACAAGGTTTTTCCCAGGGACTTGTAGTCCTGTAAGCAAAATGTGCTCACAAAGAGTTGCTGTTATACATCCAAATGTCAAAATGATTTTGGAAGAGGACAATTAGATGACCAAAGGTGGCTCAGATTCCTGCTACTAAAATTCATTTAAAAAAATAGACTCTCTTAGCAAACCCTTATGATGTTATATGTTCAGAGAAGTCTCTCAAAGAAAGCTTACATTTTTTCATTCTGTGAATCTTTCCTAGAAAGGGGCACACAAACATACTCAATTTTCACTCATTGGTAGGACATTAAATTTGCAGATTGAATTTGTAATATGTAAATATAGGTCATATGTCAACATTTTAATTCTGATGCATTTATCCTTCTGTTAGAAGCCATTTTCTCTAAACAAAGAGGCAGTACATGCCAGCATGGAGGAAGACATTGATAATATACTGTTGCCAGGGTATTTTCTATGCAGAGCAGTTAATCTCAGCTCTATCCATATTAAACACAAAATGCCTGGTTACACAGCTGGCACATAGATTTATTTTAAGCTTTCCATTATGCTAGCTGTTTTATTAATAAAAAGGAAATAAATTGTACACTATTTGTATAAAATATTGTATATTGATGGAGTCTTGCAATGACTCAAAGGGTCCTAAAGCTCTTAAACATCCATCCACTGCACATCATTCTGGATAACAGAAGGACTAAAAAGACGCTGAGGCTTTGTCTACATTTAAAAGTAGAAAGCGTGACTGCGCTTACAAAAATTGGTTTAATTATTAAATCATTTACTTTATTGTACAAGTGAACGATACAATCAGAGGCACTGCACTTATCTACAGAGGAAAGACCCATGGTGAGAGCTTACAAGTTTATTCCAGCACAATATATTAAACTTGTTTCTCATGGCACATCTAAGATTCTAGTTATGCCTTCTTGCACCCCAAACTAAGCACTATGACTACCTGTCTGAAGTAAACTACTACTTACTGTTGTTTCACCTAAAATTAATGATAAAATAGGAGATAATATTAACACACAATGATGGAGCATCCAAAATAAATTAAATACTGTACCAGGAAAAGGAGAAAATACCCTTACATTTTCAGTAACTGTTTTGGGGTGAACCCTGATCTAACAACACTGAATTTCCTCCCTCAATAATTTACATTCTTTTTATAAGTAATAGCATAATTGAATTTGGTAAGTATTGTTATGTAATGCATTACTTGTAGCTTGTGCTACAGTAAGAATTTTTTTATATTGAAAAAGGATAGACTTAATTAGCATATATCAACTATTAACAAATCTTAGCAATGGCCACTAATTGTAGCCTCACAGTCTATCCCCCTATTTCTGACCCCTGTTCAGTTGTTATACATTACTAAGCAAGTAGAAAAGAAACAAAACACAAGTACATATAAACAAACATATAAAAAGGATTGAAGCAGCAGTTAAAACTATCCAAATGATAAAAAGAATGCTCAAAGTTGGTAGGATAAAATTTAAATATTTATATGCATTGAATTAGATAATTTTAAGAACCTCCCATGTGTACATTATCTTCATTGCTGTGGATTGCTCTGAACAGTGACTCTTAGAGGCCAATTAAAAAGGTACTACATTGTGTCTATCCTTATTTTGGCATCTCTTGTTATGAAAATTAATGTTTACAAAACTGGAGAAGATTTGCCACTTAAAGAATAATTCTACAGAAAATCCAGACTACCACTGAAAAATCAGGCCAAGGACTTTTAGTTAGTAATTGTATGAAGCATCACTCAGTAGGAAGAGTTATGCCGAGAACTGACCACAATGATCACTTTCTTTTGTTTATTTGTCCATGTAACTATTATTGATTTTCACACACAGTTGATGTGATTGCATGTTAGGCACAGTTGAGTTTTTAATAGGATCATAATTAAGAACATAAAAATGGCCATACTGGGTCAAACCAAAGGTCCATCTAGCCCAGTATCCTGTCCTCTGACACTGACCAATGCCAGGTGCCCCACTCTCCCTCTCCTCTATTCCCAGCTTCTGACATATTCCTACCCATCCTGGCTAATAACTGTTGATGGACCTATCCTCCATGAATTTATCTAGCTCTTTCTTGAACCCAGTTGAAGTCCTGGTCTTCACAACATCCTCTGGCAAGGAGTTCCATTGTTGTGTGAAGAAATACTTTCTTTTGTTTGTTTTAAACCCGCTATCTATTAATTTCATTTGGTGACCCCTAGTTCTTGTGTTACGGGAACAAATAAATAACTTTTCCTTATTCACTTTCTTGACACCAGTCATGATTTTATAGAACTCTATCATATCCCTCTCTCTTTAGTCTCCTCTTTTTCAAACTGAAAACTCCCAGTTTTATTAATCTTTCCTCATATGGCAGGGATTTATATAGAGGCAATAAAATATTCTGTCTTATTCTCTGTCCCCCTTTTAAATCACTCCTAACATTCTGTTTGCTTTTTAGAATGCTGCTGCTCACTCATTGAATTAATGTTTTCAGAGAACTATCTAAAAGGACTCCATGATATCTCTCTCTCTCGAGGAGTGATAGCTAATTTAGTCCCCATCATTTTGTACTGATAGTCAGGATTATGATTTCCAATATGCATTACTTTGCATTTATCAACATTAAAATTCACCTTCCATTTTGTTGCCCAGTCACCTAGTAATCCTTTTGAAGCTCTTCACAGTTTGCTTGAGCAGTTTTGTATGATATGTAGATTTTTCTACCTCACTGTTTACCCCATTCTTCAGACCATTTATGACTATGTTGAATAGGACTGGTCCCAGTACGGACCCTTGAGGGATACCACTAGTTATCACTCTCTAGTCTGAAACCTACCCTTTGTTACCTATCTTTTAATAAGTTGTCAATCCATTAGAAGACTCTCCCTCTTATTCCATGACATCTTACTTTGCTTAAGAGCCGTTGATAAGGTCCCTAACCAAAGGCTTTCTGGAAATCTAGGTACACTACATCCACTGGATCCCTCTTGTCCACATGCTTATTGACTCCCACAAACAATTCTAGTATGTTAGCGAGGCATGATTTTCCTTTACAGAAACCATGTTCACTTTTCCCCAATGAATTATGTTCATCTAAAAATGTAAATCTATTGAGATGAATGGAGCGGTTTACAAGAGTTGTTTCAGACTGTCTGCAGACTCCAGAAAACAGTTAACTAGTTTTGTAATACAGCCTCTCCGAGTTGGCCGTAACTCGAACATTTGGCCGTAACTCGATTTGTTCGTAACTCAGACCCCACTAAGTTACATAGTTACCGCGCTGTTCGTAAGCGCGAGTCACGTTCATAACTCGGGGACTGCCTTTGTGACCACTCCATGGGAGCGTTGGTCGTAAATGTGAACGGTCGTAACTCGATCATTCACAACTCGGGGACCGACTGTAGTTTCAGTTCATATTTAGATTTCACTGTCAACTTAAAACGTAAACGCTGCACAATTTGAATCTGGATACAAGTCAGCCATACACCTCAAAGTACCATATTTTGTTCTTTACCTTTTAACTATTTAACACATCATGAAAAGGGATGCTCCTCAAATCACAAGTCTTCAGAAAGTTTTCCTTTCATAGATTTTAAAGGCCAAAAGAACCATCTCATGTAACCTGATCTAAAAGTCTTCCCAAAAAACAAACTAGTCAGACACTCAACTGCATATTTGACTGTTCTATTAATATTTCTCAACTTGTGCATATTTAAAGGACAATTAAACAAGCCTCTCTCATCTGCATATGCTTCTACTCTGCTTTGCAGTAAGCTCATTTGTGGCAGATTTTTGCTAAGAACAAGGTAATTCTTTACCAGCCTGAGGATGGATTCATATGACTTGCCTATCATTTGAATTGCATAGTATGTGCTTCCCATTGGTCCCAGTCCTGCTTTTCCACAATGTGCTGTTTGAGATTGGCAAGGGTTATGAGAGAAAAAATAAAGAAAGGGGGGAGTGACATTCTTTGGGAGGATGAATAGAGTCACTAACAAGAAAGAGAGGAAACACATATGTAGTAAGGCTCTAAGGGCATTTTCCATGTGTATGTAAGTATAGCTAGGAGGTGTTTATACCTTTCTCTGGGTGTCACTGCACATCTCCCGGGTGTCTCCACCTCTATAGGTGTAGTTGTGTGCAAGGGAGCGGACAGCCTCCACAACCCCCTGGACAAGGTGCAAAGAGGTCTGGGCTCCATGCTCCCTGAAGGGGCAGAGCCTTGGACAGAAAGAATGGAGCAGCTAATTATGCCGCTCCCCAGACCTCAGAACAATATGGGGCAAAGGGGAGAGTGGAGGGGGGGGAAGTGGATGGTGATTCAAGAGCCGAGGGCTTTGGCCACTGCAGTAGCAATGGCAGCAACTGGGAGCACTGGGCCTCTTTGAATTAGCAAAATCCAGGGCAACTACGCCCTTTGCTCCTCTCCCCCATCCTCAGGCCTGCTTGTGTGCCTGGGAGCGGGGGGGGGGCTGG